TTGAAATGGACCAAATACTGAAAAAATGTCGGATTTTGCAGTAGCTATACAGGTCGCAATTATGGACCAATCGACGCGGAATTTCGCATGTAGCTGGAGTTTAGGGAGGGGAAGAAGCCTACCAATTTGGGTGGGCATCGGATAATATTTAGCGGGTAAGATAGACTATATCTTTTGTGTTGAAAAATTCAAAATTTTTCATTAAACCGTGAATATTTTAAATCCCGGCGAAATCACAAAGCCATCACAAGGTTACTTCTGACCTTTACATTGATGTTAACATCCAACAAATCGGATATATAGCAAAATATGTGCGATATATATGTCTATCAAAGATGATATGCTTGAAAAATCTCTTATATGTCGAGAACGGCTGAACTGATTTCGACAGTTCTCATTAATTCAGAATGGTCTCTTGGCAGGAAAGAAACAACGTCTAAAAAATCGCATGAAAATATTGATTTTGTAAAATTTTCTCATATTTTTTTCAATTTTGTCACATTTTTTGGCATATTTTCATTTTGAATTAAACATTTGGTAATATTTCTACAGCTAAAAAAAAAACTAAGTAGCTAGGATATCAGGATATCATATACAGATCGCATTTATGGCCCGATCCTTACGAAATTTTGCATAGGGATAAGATGAGGGTCAGAATAGAAGCCTACTCTTTTTGGAGATGATCGCCATATATTTAGGGGTTGAAATGGACCAAAAAGCTGCCAAATTGTCGGCAGGTCGTAATTATCGCCCGATCCTCACGCACATTTGAATGGGGGTTACTGCACATTGCAAAAGCCAAGCAGTTTCTAATGGCCATCCAAAAATATTCAATGTGTGAAATAGTTTGCCAACTTTTGTAGACAAAATACGAAAATGTCCATTCCACAGACTTTTTGGAGAATTCACAAATACAGGAAAGACGCACTTCTGACTATTTCGTTGAAGAATATAGTCAAATGTTTGTATCTCATATAGATGCGTTTCAGTCAAAAACCAATAATAAATGTTAATCTTTTGCCACTTCTGAGAGATTATAGGTCTTTGGGAAATATTGGTTCCAGATCTAGGAAGACCATTTAAGTGCAACATCTACCAATAAATTGGAAATGAGCAAATTAGTTTAAGTTGTTATTTTTCGAAAATTAGAGAACGAAACCTGATGGTTTTCTTTAATTATTTGTCACAATATCTTGTGGAATTCTGTCGAGTACTTCGCCTATATAAACTGTATGGTTTATTATAGTGTTGTAGGGTATTCAACGGTCGGCCCCGCTCGACTGTAGCCTTTGCTTACTTGTTTATATTAATATTTTCAATGCATTTAAAAGTTAAAAAAATGATAAGGAAAAGTTTAAGAAAAAACACATTAATTTTCAAGTACATTTATGTGGCTTAAAAATACCACCACTTCTTCTCCCTCTCACAACGAACCGCAGCACAACATCAAAATAACAAATAATTTATAGGTTAGCGTCTCTGGCACTTTTTATTTATAAGCAACGTTCTAAGGCTGGTGTTATTTTTTATTTATTAATTTCAGAATCTACCAAAATGTAATTTCGTTTTATTTATGAGCCGTGCATTGCATGGATTTAAAATCATTTTATAATGCCAGGCCGAAATGAATGGAAATTTAAATGAATGAATAAATAAAATAAATAAATGTTTGCCACATTTAGTTTAGACAGTTCGAATTTCTTCAAAAGAACAATGAATTGTATGCAGGCGTATTGAAGTGTTTTTTTTTTGTACGTTTGAAATTAACTTGTGGTTTTTGTTATTCGAATAACAAAAAGTTTAAAAGACGCGTGTGAAACCGGCTTTTTTGCAGCCCAATTTCTTAAGTAAGCCATAACGTTTCACATTAGAGTTTTATCTAATCTTTAGTGCCAAACTATTTTATATAAGTCCGCCCTTGGTAGAGCAAGCAAACAACGCAAGTACATTTTTTTTTTGAAAAGTGGTCATACTTATTTTACTTGCTATTTGTGGACTTACAACGTTTACTTGATTCGCTAACTATGCGTGTCAGGACTTACTGTTGAAAATATTTGAGAAACCGCTGGTCACAATTATTGCAAGGTGATATACTAAATGTACAAACATACGTATTTTTATACCCTCCCCTAATATGGAGGGTATATTATTTTTGTCATTCCGTTTTTAACACCTCGAAATATATATTTTAGACCCCACAAAGTAATATATACAGGGTGAGATAAAAAAACTGCAACAAAGTCAAATGCCAAAAAATTTCGGAAGTAGCATCACATTTTAGAATAAATTTAGATTTGTTCGAATTGGTCACCTTTGGCACGAATTATGACCTTCAGACGGCCAATGAAACCGTCACACGCTGCCCGGCTTATTTGTTACTTTACTTGATGTTGCTGTATTCTTCCATCCACTTCCTTGACGTCGGGCAACGCTACCAGTATCACGGTAACGAGCGATGGTACGAGACACAAAAGATTTATTCACATTTAAATGCTGGAGTGCTCGAATGATAGCCACTTGTGGTTTTCCAGCCAAATATAAAGAAATCACACTATTACGCTTGAATTCCATCACGAATAACTGTTTTACTGGAAAATTTCCACCTAAATGCTTTTGTACACTTGTAAACAATATAACGAGCTGTCACTGGAATAATTTTAACAGCTGCAGGACGAGTGGCTTGAAGTTGGTTGCAGCTGTTTGAAGTTGGTTGCAGTTTTTTCATCTCACCCAGTATACTTGATCAGCATAAAATATGTCGATTTAGCGGTGTCCGCCCGTCTGCGGAAATAACTCTAGCATTTGAACGAAATGAAGTAGATCGATAAAATTTTACTCAAATGTAAATAATGTCTGCTGGACATTTGGTATGGAAATGGGCCATTTAGGTCCACATTTTGGTATAGCCCCCATATAATGGTGTATCCCTATTTTCGGTATTGTGGTGATTTAAGCGACATTATTCACCGGAATTGTTTTAAATTTGGTATTTGAAGTTCGCAATGAATACAACAGCCTAAGACAGAAAATTGTCTGAACAGGTCCACGCCTGAAACTTGAAAAAATCGGTGAATAATGTAGCTAAAATCATCAATATAGGGAGGTACTATTATATGGGGGCTATACCAAAATGTGGACATGAACAGAAAATTGTCTACCTTAGGCTGCAGTATCCATTACGAACTTCAAATACCAATTTTGAAACAATTCCGGTGAAAATACCGAATATCGGGAGGAACCGTTGTATGGGCTATAAGAAGACGTGAACCTGCAGAGACAATTTTCTGCCTTAGACTTAGAACTTCAAGTAACAGATTTGAAACAATTCCGGTGAATAATGTCCCTAAAATCATCAAAATACCGAATATGGAGAGGAACCGTTATATGGGGGCTATACAAAAAAACGTGGACCTACATGGCCCATTTTCAATACCAAAAGTCCTGCAGACATAATATAAATTTAGGTAAAATTTTATCAATCTACTTCATTTCGTTCACACAGACAATTTTCTGTCATAGGCTGTAGTACCATTACGAACTTCAAATAACAAATTTGAAACAATTCCAGTGAATAATGTCGCTAAAATCACCAAAATACCGAAAATAGGGAGGTACCACTATATGCGGGCTATACCTAAACGTGGACCATGTTTCAAGATTTTAGCTGAATTTATAACCCATTCGTCTAAAATGGGTATTATACCTAACTTTGTCATTCCGTATGCAACATCCCTAAATATTCGTCAAAGACACCATAAAGTATATAAATTCATGATCAGCATTAAATTCTGAGTCGATTAGATCTAAAGTCGATGTCCGTCTGCCTGTCTGTTGAAATCACGATACAGCCCACTTTATTTGACTAAGAGCTTAAACGTTTCCAGAACAATTTGTGTTGTGTCTAGAATAGTTGGATTAAAAATGAAAATGGTATCGGTCCACGTTTTGGTACAGTCGTCATATAACGCTACCTCCCAATATTCGGTATTTTGATGATTCTTGCCACATTTTTCCACGGAATTGTCCAAAAATTCGCATTTGTAGTTCGTAATGGATTCTAGCTCCTATGGCGGAACATAGTATGTATAGGTCTACGTTCTTGTGTAGCCCTCACATAACGGTACCTCCGGATATTCAGTATTTTGAATATATATATATATTTTCCCACGGATTTGTCTAAAAATTGGTATTTGTAGTTAATAATGGGCTCTAGCTCCGTCTATAGCGTACATATAACAATACCTATTGGATAATCCTAGTCACATTTAGACATTTGGTATTTTTAAAGATTTAGATGACATTAGATGACAATCCTTGAAGTCCGTTTATAACCTTTATAACGGACTTACTACACACTCAAACTTCACTTTCATTTCGAAATATTCGTGTGAGGCCTCAGAAAGAACATTGGTCAAGCATACAATTCAAAGTCCAATTGAGTATGTCCGACCATGAATGAGTTGTAATCAAGATAGAGGCACACTTTACTTCTTTTCTCCTGATTAGATTCTCTTACGCCTAATACACACGCATAAAAGTAATAAATAAATAAAAAATCAGCAGCTTTTTTGTCGGTTCTTCTTGAGGAAACGAAGACACATCTGGTGTTACTTGCTCGGTACATTCGGCTCAGACAAGATCTGCACGCAATGTCAATAAACCGCTGCTATGCATTTTTAATTGGGACTTGTGTGTAGCAACGTCCAAGCGATGAGCGCATCGAAATAATATTGCTGTGGAAATATTCACATCTTATTGAATTCAAGTTGTCTAACACACTTACATTTTCCAGCGTATTACAAATACTAACTAATTACTTGTTACCCATAATTAATGTACAACAATGATCGTGTTCAGTCAGATTGCTAGTAATATAGCATTTGAGATTCTTGACTTCCTAGCAAAATACTGTTGCAAGTTCGAGCTTTACGCTGCTCAAAGTTCTAAATTGATTAAGCAAGAATTGAATTTAAATTTTTGTAATCATAGTTCATACTTACATGGTCGGCATTTATATGCTATCTCAACAAATTTCCGTATACCGGCACAAGGATCCCCGCTGGCCAAAGGTTTAGAGTTTGCAGAAAATTTACAATGACGTTTCTTCTGGCAGGCGTCGACAACCGTTTGCAGCAGAGCGTACTTAAAATAGAATGAGAACAAAAAATATTTAAAGAACAATGAGAAATTCAACGACATTGGGGAAAAGAGCAAACAAACGACATTAACTGCATTTGAAGCCTGACATGATTGTTTTATTGCTGACAATGAAAAACCAAAAGAGAAACGAAGATACATCCGGACATTGTGAAAGCTGGTACAAATTTGCATATTAAATAATCGAAAAAAGGAACATAAATCAATTGATTCATTTAATTATGTGCATTTTTTTATAATTGTGACTTTAATTTGTTTCATTACAATATCTGTGTGGCAAACTGCGGTTTATAATAAAGTTTCTGTACACATTTACAAATTGGAAATTGGGGAATATTCATCACAAGTATGTAAATATGCACAAATCAAGTGCAAATTGCTGTGACTAGGACCCAAAAAAGTATATAGGTCGTTGAGACGCATAAATTATGACAATAGCAAGGATGTGCTATTGAACACAAACATTTGTACCTAACACAATATCTCCTTTTTTTGTGATAGCTAGTTTCTAAAGGAAAGAATATTTGCAACAAAAGAATGCTTTGCAATTTGGGATTGAAACATTCAAAATAATCGGAAGTACAGGATGTGATAAAAAAAAACTGCAACAAAGTCAAACGCCATATTTTTTTTTAATTTTAATGAATGAAACCAAAAATGTCGGAAATAGGATCAAATTTTAGAATAAGTTTAGATTTGTTCGAATTGGTCACTTTTGGTACGAATTATGGCCTTCAAACGGTCTATGAAACAGTGAAACCCGAATGTTGCTCTGCGGTATTTTTTAGTGCTTTCCAAAATACTCCAGACACAATAGTCCAACGGATTGGTATCCGGAGATTTTGGTGGCCATTGTGCGCTGGAAATGAAGAGAGGAACCTCATTTTGTAACCATTCTTGGGTGGCGCGTGCTGAGTGCGATGGTGCTGAGTTCTGTTGGAATGTCCAACGTCTGCGGCCAAAAAAGTTTGCGTGCCCAAGGCTTTAATACACCCTCTAGAATATTTTCGAGATAATATTCGATTAATACGAGCGAAGAACGACCATCGGCTGTTATGGCGGCCCACACCATCACCATGGCCGGCGTTTGAGTTCTGGTGGCCAACCGAAGGTTCCCATTTTTATCGGACCTCTTTGGCAAAGTAATCACGATCATTTTGTTTGTTTACAAACTGCTTGACAACGAATGTTTTCTCATCGCACAAAACCAAATTCGACAGTTCACCTTTTTCGGCAAGCAAAGCAACTCCTTAGAGTCTTTTTTCTTGTATTTGCGGTGTAAGTTCTTGCACTTTTTGGATTTTGGAATCCGAATGTAATATTACGATATGTTCAGTTCACGAGCCATTTTTCGGCCACTGCGAAGCGGGTTTCGATCAATTCGCTTGTTTACTTTTCGAACCATTTCTGCTGACATTGTTGTTTTCTTCCGTCCACTTCCTTGACGTCGGGCTACGCTACCAGTATGACGGTAACAAGCGATGGTTTCCCAGTCAAATATAAAGAAATCACACTATCACGCATAAATTCCATTACGAGTAACTTTTTTCTAGAAAATTATCACCAAGATGCGTTTGTACGCTTTTAAACAATATAATGAGCTGTCACTGGAATAATTTTAACAGCTCACGGACGAGTGGCTTAGAAATGACAGCAGTTTGAAGTTGGTTGCAGTTTTTTCATCTCACCCTATATATGTGTTATATATATATATATATATATATATATATATATATATATATATATATATATATATATATATATATATATATATATATATATATATATATATATATATATATATATATATATATATATATATATATATATATATATATATTTCTTTGGACATTGTAGTTGCACATGATTTTACACATAACATTTTTCACTTCAATATTTCTTTAAAAAGGACTCCGTTAATAAAATTGGGTCCTCCTATTATGTCCTCAAAATAATCCAAATTATTTCAAAACCTAAATTCTATGCTCTGTGTCGTGGTCAAGCCAATCGAGTACTCCTCTTACCTGGTGATAAATTGTTTATTGTATTGTGTGATTTATATCTAGCCAACTCTCAATGTGGGCTCCTACCTCTTTGTCAGATTTATCTGCATATTAATATGAACCATTTGAAAGATAACAATCAATACCTCTATGTAGCATAGACTGTGGTCCGATTTCCATGTTTAATAGAAAACGCAGCCTAGCATATGTGTGAATATGCGACCATCTGAACAATGTACGGATATGGGAAAATCATTGAAATGTAATAATGTAAATCATGTAGGAATCCGAATAGTTCGACAAATCTAAGTGGCTGCAATACATGCAAACTGATCAGCTTCGGCTCCAATTTCAGTTGATGGTAAGCACCATTAGAAGGCAGCTAACGCAAATGCAACGGGGATTGGTCGTTCATGGACCAAACACAGATACAGTGTTTAAATTTACAAATTGACCATCAAGTGAACAGAGATTTTTAAAGGATACAAAAATATGAATGATATCTACCCTACACACATATATACATATACTATCTTAAGATTATGACATCATTGGCAGAATAGTGTTTTTTTTTTTTTTTTGGGCTAAATAGAAGCTGTAACCATTATTTTTTTATTGCATTCTTAAAAATGTACGTTTAAGGTTTGCGAGTCTCGTATTTTATGACACTGTACGTTTGCTTGCTGCCTTTGTAGTTACCGTGTGTGTACATACAGACATACTTAGAGCATTGCATATCTGTGCAAACATTCGTCCGTACACATATTTATGTAGCCTGGACGTGTTTGGTATGTATTTAATTTTTTCATTTCGTCCTCCATTCTCGTTCACCTCGTTCCTGATATGGCGCCAGAGTGCCCCCTTCCCCCCAACCTCCTGCACACACAGACAAAGCCTTGCTGGAAGGAACTCTTCGGAATATTGTCTACAGCATAAACATTGTTTGGCGTTACGCAGTAGGACTTTGAAAAACGAGTATTCGTATGTGTACTTGTGCGGGCTGGCCAAAGAATATGTGAATGTGTCGGTGAGGAGCTGTGGAATATGAATGGGGCATTGCACACTTATGTATGTATAATTGTGTGTTCAGGAGCTCGCTCGTACACTCATATTGGCTGAACCTACATAGTCAATATTTGAACAAAGTTTTATCTATCCACCATTGTAGCCATTGCGATGGCTGCGCTGTACTGTATGTTCTGCGAGATGGTAGAATATCTGCCGAACGAATAACAATCATCCGTTTAATAAAACGAGTCGCATCATCGGCATTGTTTATCGTTTGCTTCGATTCAGGTCTTTGCAATTTTGCACAGAACTCTTGACACACAAATGCCACATGAAGGTATTTTCAATTATGTTGCTCACCTGTAATCCGCTTACTGTACACGACTCCGGAGGCTTTACTTCGATTTGGGTCCCGCTATGAATAACGCCAGTGCTGCTACCAGCGCCAATGAGACCAGTACTTCCATCTCCCGAATTGCTACCAGTGGTTGTTAGATCTTCTTGGGATAGTGGTGGGCATAGGCTGTGGTCACTTAAATCTGTGTCAAAAGAAGATGGAAAGACAACAAAATTACACTCAGAAAATAAGATAGTTCAAAGAATCGAAGTTTGCATCACTTTGTTTGTAAAAGATGTTGACAACAGTGTTGTTTTAATTAGTCGATTGTTTATAAATATAATTAACTTGAAAGATGAACTCAAGACTATAACTAGCGGTTCCAATGGTTTCACCCACTATAGTATTCTCAAGCCAATGCAACTAGTAGTTACAGTTTAAAATGGAACATGCCAGAATCCAGATAATTTTATTTAAAAACTTTTGTTTTACAATATGGTGTAGGTTACGGAAAGTTCGACCCGACCAAACTTAATGTCTTTTACTTATTGCTTAGTAATGTAATGCAGAAAGAATGTAGCTATAATAACTACACCCTTTTCAGCAAGAAATCACATATTTCATTTGAAATTCAAAAAACAACAATTCAATTTAGAATTTATATCAAACTAGCTGGCCCGGTCCGCGTTGCCGGCCCGTATTTTTAGTCTTTAATGCATATTTTTTATAATTAATGATTCCACAGTTATTTCTAAAAATTATAATAGATGTTCACCTACCGTCGATTTTAGATATTTTGAATAACCTCATCTTATCTTTCAGCCATAGCTTTAATTTGAGTTTTAAAAACCTACATGATATAGAACATCTGTAATAGCTCCATATGAAACCCCAACTCAATTTTGGTATTAGCAACATTTTCCATTCAAATAAGCTGTAATTGGGAATCTGTATTTCCAACGTTTAGAATACCGTGCTTCGTGATATTTGGTTTCGTCCATCTCATAATTGATGGCAGAATGATTTCAGAATAGCCAAAGTATATATATCCTTGATCAGCATGAAATTCTATGTCGATTTAGCGATGTCTGTCCGTCTGTGGAAATCACTCAAGCCTCCGAATGAAATGACATTGAAACATTGACATTGAAAAATTTCCGCGAAGAGGACTTCCATCAGAAGCTAGATGCCAAATAAGGGCAAAATCAATTGGAAAATGTGACCAAGTCCCTGGTAATAGCTAAAATCACCGGATACCTTCACATAAGAGTAATAATGAAGCATGGTTCTATACTTATAATTATTTGAAAGAATTTGTTTTTCATTCTAAAATCTTTGAGGAATTTGGAAGGGGCTATATCACAATGTAGACCAACCTGAGCTATATAAAATGGACTCTATGCATTTTGAGTTCTCATTTGGATGAATGATTTTCATATCTAATCAAAATTGAAAATTTGGGTATGGCAACCATATAACAGCATGTATAGAAAACAAACTTTCTCGATTTTTTCGGTTTTTTTTCAATAAGAATTTTCAATTCCAAAAGGAATTCTAAAACAATTCTACCCAAAATTCCATATCATGATAGAATAGTCAATTTTTTCAGTTCCGCGATTTTTCTCAAAATTTTCTTTCATGACATATCATGACGTTTTCACTGTAATTACAAATAACCAAAAGAAAATTTGAGCCAATTTGAGTCAGATGTGTTACTATACGTTTTCAAATTTTTTACATATAAATTTAAAGAAGTAGGTGTGGCCAGTTCCTCTGACCCCATACAATTACCTAGGGTTGTGAGAGTCACGATTACGTATACTAACTGTGGAACAGATATCTTCATGATTTCGGCAAATATTCAGATTTTCGATAAATCGAAAAAATGGGCGCAAAATTGGCCGTGGTCACTTTTCCTTTGCATAAAAACCTAAATTGGCGTAGGACGAACATTAAAAAAAAAATACCCAAATAGTTCCAGCCGGTCTCAACTGATTCAACTACCAACGAACAACAATTGGTTTATATATAGATTAAAAAGTAGACGTTCCACAGCCTCCAAATAAATATACAGGCTTGGAGAAAAAGTCTACAGTATGTCGTGTAATAATTTTAAAACCGATATCTTCATTATTTGGCAAATATAAGGATTTTAGATAAGTCGAAATAGTGGGCGTAAAAGTAGGCGTGGTCAATATTTTGTTCTTTAAAAACCTAACTCGGGGTATGACGAACGTTTGTACAAAAAATATGCAAATCGGTTCAGCCGTTCTCAACTGATTCCATTACCAACGAACAACAATTGATTTATATGTATATAGATTAACTATTTTTAGCTTAAGAAAACTTCGATTAAAATTGTGAAAATCAATTCAAAATTACCATTCTATTGTCTGTGGGCCTTTCAGAGTCTATTGTGTATTTGAAACAATTAACAAAACTGTATTTCCTTCCAATAATTACAACTCAAGCTCCGATTGCTAATTCCTAAGGGATGTACTTTTTTTGAATAGTTTTGTGAATTGGTTTGCAAAACCTTTTTCTAAATTCAAAGCCACAAAATTATAGTTAAGTCACTATGGGTACATTTTTAAATGAACCACAGTAATCATGAATTTTGAATTGTAACAACCTTTTCTGCAATGAATTCCTATTTTTATAAAGTTTGGTCAATATCTTATAGCATAAAAATATATACACAAATCCCGAATATAAAAGTATGTTTGTTCAGTTATCATTGCTAAACTTGCTTAGAGTATCATTCAGTCTGCACAATAGACAGATATGTTTTCTTTCTATTTTTTTAACTACTCCTCTAAGAAATTTCGGGTATAAATGCTGTTAGGAGAAAACTGTTGCAATGAAGTATTGATGACGCAATTAGAATAAACGTATCTTCGTGCTAATGGGAGTTCGAAAGAATATTAAAATTCGTTCTGCTTTTATGTATACGAGTATTGATCTCTTCGGAATGAAACCTTTAGCATAAAAAAATCGTGGTTGGCCATAGACATCGTGGTGATTAGTGCGTAATTGCGGCATGAAGTTTGATACACAATTAATGGTGAACTGTCGGACTCAGTTCGTGATGGGCATTGGACTAATATTGCGAGATTTCTTTATTTAATTAATTTCTTTTATAAAAACTTGTAGTCTTTTTTATATGATTCCTTTCATAATTTCATATAATTTATTTGTATTTAATGCAAAAAAAAAAGTGTTTTCTTTCGTTTCGTAATACAGAAACAGGCCTGTCTGAGCTGCATTTGATATATTTCCCCGAATATCATTATTACGGAGTTCATATTACGGACGTGAAGGATAAAATTTTTTATTTGAAAAAAAAGGATGAAAATTTTTTATTTGAATTAAAGCTATATCTCAACGGATTTTCATAAATTTTGACATGCTGGTTTCTGGGCTCAATTTGATTGTATGTACCAAATCCTATTTGGTCTTATATTACACATTTGGTGCACAATAAAAGGAAAATCGGATGGAGATATATATGGTAGCTATATATAAATTTTGACCGACTATCTCCAGTCTTCATAAGGTTCGTCCTTGGGCCAAACTGATTTGTGGAAGGTTTCATTTCAATCGGACAATAGATGCGACCTGTACTTTGTTTACGAAAATACATGGAGAGACAGACAGACGGACGGACGGACATGCATAAATCGACCCAGAATGTGATTCAATGCAGATTATCAAAGGAACTATGTATCTATCTCGCTTCCTTCTCTGCCTTACAAACAAATGCACAAAGACATAATACCCTGACCACAATAAATAAATAAGCAAAAATACTATTTTTTTGGTCAAAACTCATCCTTATATTTTCATAATACTTAATCCTGTTTGCATATGAACATTATGTACCCACTCTTTCCGGTACCATTTCTATGAATCTCAACTAAATCAAACCCCTATGTATGTAAACTTATTGCAAACACCTAAGGGAAGAAAATTCTGTTGAAAAATCGAGTTAAATTTTTACAATTACAATTAGGCTTGTAAAAATTAATTTGTTGGAGGAGGTTTTACAGTTATTTTAATGGCCAATTTGAAATACCTCAAATACCTAACTACAGCAAGTTTCTTTGGTAAATATTGTAAAACACAACAAATCAAATTAGGTCATGTCTAAGAGTGTTGGGTAAAAATATTACCCTCCATTAGAAGACTCGTCTTGAGCCATTTGTTTGCAATAGTTCGATTATTTTTATACCCTCCACATACATAATATGGGGTTCGTCATTGCGTTTGAAACTCATCGAAATAATAATTCTAAACCTAACAAAAAATTAACGATTTAGTCAGTCAGTCCGTCTGCTGCAATCACGCAAGAGCAAAAACGAATAATGATAGGAAGCTAAAACATTGCACAGATTAGTCTTTTGTCTGCAGGCAGGTCAAGTACGAACGTGGGCTACATCGGTCCGGTTGTGAGTACTTTACCCCATGAAAGAGAATTGTATTTGTAAGTCTACAATATTGTACATCGCCCATACAACGGTACCTCCCTATATTCGGTATTTTGGTGATTTTAGCCACATTTTCCAAAGGAATTGTCTGAAATTCTAAACATAAATTTCTTTGTGAGTACTTTACCTATTGAAAGAGAATTGACTGTATAGGTCCACGATATCAAATCTTCGTATAGCCCCCATATAAGGGATTTCCTTTTGAGCGGTATTTTAATGGAATTTTATGGACATTTTTCAAGTTCCTTCAAAATGGTGAAGGGTGTCAAAAGTTCAGCTATAGCTGCTTTTTTACTTGTTTTTATCTACCATCGAAGTTTTCAGTCTAATGCCGATTATTAGCATACAGTGTATATGTTTGTCCCTTTTCACCCACAATTCTCAAAATGATCCCCTTTTTTTGCTATGCAATTTAATGACTAATTCGATAAACTCCCTTCTCCATGGTGGTGATTGTGAAACAAGATCATTCATTTAAATATACTCACATAAATCTGTATCGCTTCTTAAGATTTATCTTTTATGTGGCATAAACTCGTGAGTGTAGCCTCTCAAAAGCATGTACACACTTACGATTCTGCATTGCTTAGCTTATCTTAAGGGATAGAGCTTTGTTGAAAGGAGGACTTATAGAATTTAAGCACACATACTCACAAAAAGTTGTCTCTGAACGGAAATTTCTTGATTTAACAACGATTGTGTGTTTCTGTGTGTATGTGTGTTTATATGTATATGGCTGTTTGTATTACTTATTAGACATACATACCTCCTGCTCGACCATACTGGGCCAATTCAATGGATATACTGGTACCACGCGGACAACTGAGCGACAGTTGTTCAGAATCACAGCCGGCCCTCTGATATGTTCTCAGAGTTGCTGCCAACAGAGCTGAAAGGAAACAAATGATATTTGTATTACTTCTGCATGAATTGAGTTAATGCAATTTGAGATGTATGCGGAAATGTAATTCCTGAGTTTCCACAAAAAAAAAAAAAAATGCAGTCGAAAAACTGTATGTGAATTTGTGTGTGTGTGTGTGTCTGTGAGCATCTTTGTGCACTTGTGAATGTGTTATTGTATCGCAATCAATCTGTGACATTCAATAGATTTGATGTTCTTAAATTGTCCATGTAATTGCTTTGAACATAATATCGAGGAGCCATGCAAATGTAAACGTGGTGGAATGTGTAGTTTCTACAGGATCATGACAGAATAAATACCAGTTTCTAACAAAATCCTGTGATAAGAAAGAAAATCAATTCATATTCTTATACCTTCTTAACGAAATACCTTTGAGGAGATTATTAAGTAGTCATATTTCGTCCAAGCTCACAAAAGAATGAAATAATGAATGAGATAATGTAGAACAGGCGGAGGATTATCGAAAAGGCAATACCAAATTATTGTATCATGAAGTGTTGGGTCCAAAATTTGGAAACAATAATAAAGTTTTGAAATGTAGCCGTTAAAAAATAATATCCAATGATCATAAAATGGATATTGGATAAAATTCGTGATACAAATTGGCTTTTAGACAGTTATATATGTATAAATATATTAAAACATATTGGAATTTATTCAAATAGTCTAAGATTAATTTTGTATGATTTTATTTGTCAAAATTTAGAAAGAACAGTTAACTTTGTAACTGGGCTCTTTAAGGTTGCATACAATACTAAACTGTTATAATTTGTGTCGGATAAAACTTTTTGTGAGAAACCCTTTGATTCATATTCTTCAAGAAAATATAGCGTGTAGTGTCAAAGGTACTTGTGAACGTATGGCAAAATTATGAGGTTTCAATCCCACTTTATTTATTTCAAATGTTTTCTTATTTTACTTTGTTGCTTGAAATATTCTGCCTTAGGTCCAATTTTGTACCTTATGGTTAACCATCTCAAAGAATGCAATGTGGCCACACTGCTATGTACTTCCTTTTAAAGCTGAATTAGAAAAGATATTTTTGTTGGTAGTTATGTTGTAAAACTACAACCAATTAAACGATATATGGCAAATGTCGAAACAATAGTTGCGTAGAATGTAATCAAATAACACTGTACAGCAAAATTGAGAGTCAACATCTCGGGGAAGAACATTTAATTTGGTGATGAAAGCTGAAGATCCTGTAGTGAATAATAAAATGAAATTATTAATCTTTTAGAATCGGGAGAGAAATGTTTTTATGGCATATTTGGTTTGTCTAACTCTCTTTGTAATATGTCCTCTTCAACCTCTTTCCTTGAACCGTAGAATCATACCTCAAGTATTGGAAGTAAATCAAGGTGCTGAAATCCGAAAGGTATATTTTAGTTATATTATAAGGAACATAGCCATGGGCTCCAAGCCGCCAGTCCAGGAATGACTATTTTCCATTTTCATATGTTTTACATGGACAAGTTAATGTTTTTCTATTTGGGCCCACATGAAATCAAAGTACCGTTTTATGTATATAGAGCGATTTCAACAGGCGGACGGACATCGCAGGATCGTCTTAAAACTGTATTATGATAAAGTATATATTTAATATTTAAGTCGAAAATGATTATTTGAACCGATTACAACCGATATAACGAAATGAACCTATACAACGATATTAAAGACCATAATTTAAATATTGAGAACCTGGAAGGTATTGCTGTTGTAGTGTTACCAATGGTAGTTACTCAAGGTCGATTAACAATTTTCACATATACACATGAGAGTATAAAAAAGTGATATAATATTCGGTATGAAGAGATTAGTTTATTGCATATTGTTCATGTGCTCCTGAACTTTGTAAAGAATCAATAGTTTGAACGAAATATACTTGATAATCACAAGCATATGTATGTTCCGAGCCTAAACCTGGAGAACTGGAAAAAAGAACAATAAAAACCTGAGTTCGTGTCCGTAAAAGACCCCAACCGAAATTCCACAGCATAAGTAGTCATTTTAATATAATCTGCAAAACTCGGGTTAAACCGATTATTTTCTTTGGAAAAAGGCTAACTTTAATTTTAAAGAAAACGACAATTTGTTACAAAATCGTTAAAGGGGTTACATCCACTCTCTTAGAACAGTGCATACCAATTCATATTCGATATTTCATTGCTTCCATTCGAAGCATTGTATTAAACGCCCCTTCGTTTTTTATGCCCAATATATCACAATTAAAATTCTCTCGATTTAACCCATGAAATTGTTGAATACTCCAACTTTTGCAAATACCTACCAACAAACTGACATTGGAACGAGACAGTGGTCCTGTCAAAACCGTTCACTAACAATTGAACACTTTTTTAAAAGTAATTTAAACTTTGCAATAAATAACTGAATTAACTACAAATTAAATTTGTTCCATTTATTTCGAAAGCATAATTCATTTAGTTTCCAAACAATATTTGCATTTTTTTCGATTCGATTCGACACTTGAATATAAATCGCAACCAAACTTAATTCATTCAAAGCACATAATCGAATTGTATTTTGTGTGGAAAGGACGTTTCAACTACCAAAAACTGAAAACAAAATCACGATACGCATTTTTTGTTTTAGTTTGAAAATGAGTCAACATTAAAGTGCTTCACAACAAAAAAAAAAAAAAAATATATATATATTTTTTTTTTATTTTTTTAGGGATTGAAACAAACTAGGTAATAGTTGAAATCGTTGAACTATGGCCTGAGTATTGTTTATTGTAAACTTTATATTCTGACTGGTAGAGATTTCAAAATATTTGGAAATGATGTTTATTGAATTTTGTGGTGGATGTTCTATGTATCTGTGTAGAAAAGGCCTACTAAGCGAAAGGAATAGGGTCCATGACCACTTGCCAGCGCAAATTTCATTTGTAAAATTCCACGTTCTGGAAAATATTTTTTGGAAATTCCAACGCCAGCCGGCACCCACAGCAATTATATATGGGAATCATTTATTTTTATTTTATATCTGTTACCGCACCTTAACTATGAGTGAAAAGATATTTAGAAGATATACCTATTAAATTTTTCTGTGCCGTCCTAATGCATGCAGATTCAAACAAGGATATGACTGAGCCACGAGATGGCAATGTGTCCGACAAACCTTAATTTGCACAAATCATTCTACATGGAAAATTGTTCACTCTAATATATATATTGAACTATATTGTAAACGCCAATAAAATTTGAATGTAATAAATGACCGATAACAACGATAAAATCCGTCAATGCGACACAAGGCAGTGCAATTACATGTATTTGGAAGTACAATGGTTGAGTCTGTGAGTTAGTTGTGAATGCCCTTGCGTAAAAAGATTTCAGCAATCAATGAATACGTTGTTTCACAAACCACAACAATAACAATTGCATTAATTTGCAAGCCAAATTTCAGCGAGATGAAAGTCAATAGCACGCACACACATACCTCGGGAGCCACCACGTTGATATTCAATCGGATATTTGTGAAATTTTATGAATATTACAAGATATTAAATGGCAAAAAGGAGTTATTGTTATTTTACCATTGTAAGAACTGCACAATGTATTACTCTATGAAATTTTATATTCAAAAAACAAACAAGTAAAAAAGCAGTAGGTTCGGCCGGGCCGAACTTTGAATACCCTCCACCATTTGGAAATTTTCCAAAAAATAATATTCACCAAAAAATCTGTTAAAATGTTTAAAATACTGAATATAGCCGTTATATGGACCTGCATAAGTAACTTTCGCCATAAGCCATTACAATATTGAAATACGCAACTTTAAAAAATCCGTGAATAATGTAGCTAAGATCATCAAATACCGAATATAGGGACTTACTGATATATCAGGCTTGTACGAAGGCCTGGACCTGCATAGATAATTTTCTGTCATAGACTGTAGTTCCCATTATGAACTCTAAATACAAAAATTGAAACAACTCCGCTGAATGATGTCACTAAATACATCATAATACCGAATATTGGGATGTACCATTATATGGAGGCTATACTAAGCCGTGGGACTTTTTAAGCAATTTTTTTGTCATAGGCTGTAGTACCCATCACGAATTCTAGGTACGCAATTTCAAACAACTCTGGCGAATAACGTCCCCAATATCGCCAAATATGTAATATCAGGGGTTATGTTATTAATATTTCTCTTCCAGGGAGTAAAGTGCTCAGAAAGAACTCCTTGTGTGGATTTTTAGGCAATTCCATTGAAAAATGTTGCTAAAATCATCAAAATACCGAATATCGGGGGTACTGTTGTATGGGGTCCAGAGGGCTGCAACGAGTATGCAAAAATTCAAGCATACTCGGTTTCTTACATGATTTTTGTTGATGCAGTCGTTTAGTTTGATCTGAATGAAATGACCGTTTTCGCTTCTGATCGAATCGAACGCTCAGTTTGAATCACTTCACTCACAATCAAACATGAGCGTTCGAGACGGTTTGATGTGTTCAGTAACGTGAGTTGATCGAACACATGAATGTAAATGAGCAATTACAACCGTGATTGTCTTCTTTGAATCGAGTTCGCTCAGCGTCATTGTTTATTCAACCATTTAATCAAGATAGGAAGTTTATTTTGACTTTTTTAATATTTAAATTTGGAAGAATATTGTGATAGTGCGAACGAAATTGTTGCAAGTAGAAACTACACAGGTGTAGGTAAACGAAGAGGTCGAAGTTTGTGAAAAATCTTGACCAATATTGTAAAATAAAAAAAATATTTAAACATTTTTAGTTTTCTAAATACCAATGATGTGTTTCTTTATTAAAAAATTTAATTTTGTTTTTTTTTCAAATAAGTCACTGTCTAACAGACAAGTCTAACACACCAAAAAACCAAATAAAACGAAAACATTGTTTAAATATAATTTGCACCAATTTTTTTATGGGGACAGCTTTTAGTTAGTCCACTGTGTGTGATCAAGCCTACTCGAT